CTCGCACATCGTGAACCCTCGATAAGATATCAAGGAATTTCCAAACAAGAAAGAAGACTGTATATTGCTTGTAAGTCTGTGAAACTTTAGTTTATAAATCATTGTTTGTAATAACTATTTGCAATAACTGTTATTGTAAATTGAATTTTTGTATGTATATTAAAACGTATTTATGTTAAAAAAGAAAGCTGTGTGTATCAATTTTCTTGGCAAATATCATAAACTGACTATATAATGGCTTTTACTTAACTGCTAAATCCAAAGTACAATTTAACTACTAAATTTAAATTTATTAGTTAACTTAATATCAGGCTATTTGAAATTCTAATACGTAACAAATATGTTCGTCCTCACGAGTAAAGCAGACAGGGATTGCTATCCATCTCTGATACTCCATGGCATTGAGAATCTTCCTACCACAGACCTGATATGTGGTTCCAGATGCTTCCAGGTGTTGGTTGATTGACTCTGTTGATGTGGTAGCTCTGCTTTTTAAGACAAGGTATCATGGTCACCCATTGCACTGTCTCTGGTAATGCAATCCTCCAGACTCTCCAACTCATTTATCCCTCCTTTCTTCTAGTGGAGTATGAGAGTCCTTGCCACTTACCAGTTCCTAGTCACTGGAGTGGTGGACTGTCCTCGTGAGTGATTGATTCATCATATCAATCAGTTGAGAGTAGGGTAGTGGCATTCTGTGGGTATCGATGGCATATAGCACTTCCTACCATGAACCTAAGGTACAATTCCAGATGCTGCCAGGTTTTGGTTCTATATATATTTGGTTAATATACATATGGCAGATTGCCTTTTCCTACCATGACATTCCTCCTTTCTACCATCCTCCAGATGTGGTGCCTGGGGGGTCAGGTATTGGTTGGAGATTGTCCAGCTAAGTAAGTCCTCATGTACTGGCCAGTATCCCTCCTCCTACTGTGGACTGCATGAAAAATGCCTAGTGCCACCAGGTTTTGGACTGGAGATGTACCCCAGGTTTGAAGTCCCTCATCCTGTTGTCTGCTAGATATTGGTTCCCGGCAGATCTGGTGTTGGTTGTAGCTGGATGCAGCACATGTATTTCCACTTGTGTACAGTCAGGTATCTTCCTCTTATTGTGGACTGGAAGAAACCCAATGCTGCCAGGTTTTGGACCAGAGATGTAATCCCACTGGGGCTTTCCACCTTCCTACTATCTGATGGATTTTGGTTCCCGGTGGATCACGTGTTGGTTGGGTTGAAATGCACGTAAATGGAGACGGATTTTTTAGTCTTCCCTACCAATTCCCGTTTCAAGGTAGGTGATCCTCTGCATTTTGAAGAACTGATGTACAATTCCAGATGCTGCCAGGTGTTGGATAAAGTTGAACTACCACTACGGTCTGTCACACTCTAGCAGCTTGACACCCAGGGGTCCCATTAATAGGTAATACGTATATTGGATTCCTTCATGGTTTTCCAACTTTTATGTTTACAACACAGTCATAAAAGAGCAAAGAGTATACCTGGATCAGATGTGGTATGGTCTCCTGCTGTGGTGTGATTATTATTATTTTTTTGGTTCCACACCTTGTGGTCTCTCTGGGCACTTCCTAAAGGGGGATCATTTTTTCACTAGACCTCCACCAGTTCAGTGTGGGATTCTAGATATTTTGTAAAAGGAGGTAAAACATTATATTGGGAGTTAACGTTTTCCTAAACTGAAAGTGTATTTCTGGTAGATACTTACCTCCGCTCACATTTCCCACCTAGACTCCCCACTTCTGGTGATACGTGGTGTAGGTCTTGTGACCAATCTCGAAGTGACTAACAAGTGCAACTGTGGAGAGGGCACTAGTTACTTTAGTGGTTGTGTTGTGCTCCTATTGGTGGAGAGCTGCTGCATAATCATTTACATGTGGATATGCAGAAATGGGAGGTGGAAAGCTAGAGGCAAGCATTGAAAATTTGTTCCAATAGAGGGCAGTACTAATCAAGAAAAGCTATTTTGTGAGAGGAGGTATCTATCAGAAATACATTTTCAGTTTAGAAAAATGTTAACTTTTCAAACTCTTCCTGATTTACTGAGGTATCATTATATTTGTTCAACTCAAATTGACGTGCCCCTCCTATATCCTCAGACTATGAAGTAATATCTTCGATTCTTTCTCTGATATTGCTATTAGATATGTCTGTAAAAAACAGAAAGAGCACTTCTACACTACATAAAACATACAGTAATCTGTTTTTGGGGGGATGTGTGAAAGCTGACAATTCACAGTGGGAACTTGACGGGCTTCGATAGAAGACAATACTGAGGAGTTTAAAAATGTTAACCTTTTTATGGGTAATATAGAGAACCAGGTAAATTATAATAGTTTTTAGACATTTTAAAGTAGTATTTGATGTATTTATTACATTCTACATTTCAAAGCTACATGAATATTATTTTTGGACAACCAATATAGTGTGAAACAAGTAGTCCTATTTAAGTATGTTCTTGAGTACAAATAGGCCTATAAGTGATAGTAAGTGGTAAAATTCTTGTTTCTTATCTATACTTTTTAACAAAACTAACTAAAGTGTAAGAATTTGAAAATTATTAGGTTAAGTAAGAAAACTTAAATGAAAAACAATCAAAATCCAATGAAAATTTCATCTTGATAAATACATGTGTGATGAGCAGTGACAAGCAGCTTGTGATGAATCAACATAACTCAATACTTAGTTTATCATAACTTGGACTAACATCTCTCCTTGTGATTTATGGCTTTGTTAGATTAATTAGACATAGTTCAAAGAGCAATAAAACAATAAGATTTGATGGAAATAGATGTAAATTGTTTAGAACCTGAGTCTTTTTTTTTGTTCTAGAAAACACAAAAGCATTTTTGATTTTATTTAATATTTTTCAACTTTTACTATGGATGATTTTAGTACAGTGATTGTTAAGGAAAATAGGACAAAAGATTAAAGGTTTACAAAAATAAATTTTTGATATTCATTTAGTATGTACTAGAAGCTATGCAATTGAAATATGAAATCTATAAGATAAAAAAGGTCTTAACATGAAAATCACTTAGCACTCATACTAGTTGGACTCGGTAAATTCAGACAAATATTTAGTAAAAATACTTTTATTGAAAATTCTGATTTTTTTTTTTTGTACAACACATTTTGTAATGTTTAATAAAAGTCTACCAAATTTCTTGAAGTTACACTTTGTAAATTCAGAACTATAGTAAACTTTGCTCTGTATAAAACTTAATAGAAATTGGGATGATGCATAGTCACAAAAGGTTAAAAATTAAAATCCGAAACTTTTCAGTATATTATAGTTTACCTACAATACAGCAAGGAGTCTATTAAGAACAATTGTCCTTTGAACCTCTGAATCAAGGTATTTTTCAGAAAATATTTAGAAGCTGATAAATTATATTTATCAAATTAAAACAGTTTCAAACTTAGCTCAGTTACGTTATACATTAATTTCATCACTCGTAAATTGAAACAAAAAAAGAACAAAGATGTACTTACAATATTGCATTAATGAAAACTTTAAAGGAGAAATATAAATATTGAAAATAGTTTTATAATGTTAATTTTCTTACCTCTGAAATTAAAATGTAGGATCTTGTTGTTCATAACATATTTTTAGAATAAAGGATTTGCCTGAAACTTTGCAAACCATGTTAATTGTAGCAATAGAGTGCTCAAAATTGAAATTTAACAAATTATAATCTTAATGTAAACCAAAGCTGAGAATCTCACTTCCATAGGTTTTGTGTAAGTGTGGCCAACTATTTATTCATGAGACTACTAACTTGGCATTCATGTGTTAAGAAATCAAATTTGGTAACAAAACTTATAATGTAGTATTGCAGGCCAATCATACATTTTCTACTTTCAAACGTTTTCATTTATTCTGAATCTGTGAAGTTTTTGTTAATTTCATTTCATTCTAGCTGCCTTTGTGATTCCTTGTAGATTGCATCTGTTCTGACCGTGGAGGGATATTGCTGTACATTGTGCCAATATGTAATTGACAGCAATGCCCTTTAGTGGTAAAACTGGTAATATTTTGAGGCTATGTCCTTCCTTTTGTTGAATGAGAATGACCAGTTTCATAGGTAGCACTAGTTACAATGGGTAAATCCAACATTTCATGTTAAGTAAGAAACATTTGAAGTACAAAAATTACACAGGATTTAAGTGGGAAGACATCTTGAGGGAAGAACATCAATTGATCACTTCAGAAGTCCACTGCAAGTACATACACTGTGTTTTTATAAATATTGTTCTTATTTTGTGTTGAACATCATGTCCAGTATCTATTTCTTATCTATAACACTCAGTCACAGTATCACTTCATGATTTATCCATCCTCCCTAAAATTGACCTACCTAATACTTTTTTGTGGAAATCAGTTTATCCTGAGAATACCACAGAAATATAGTTTTTGAGCAGTGTTGTTTCTCATCAAACATGCTTGGTCAGTGATAGAAATTGTTACTTAGTCAAGCTTTATTTGTGAAAAATGACTAGGTGGAATCATTAAATATGTATACACACTTTTATGCTCTTTCTTGCCAAAAAAGTGTTTGAGGCTGTTTGGTTTCCAGATAATTTTGTTACTCAAATTTTCTTCATATCTCACAGGCTGAATTGAAATATTTAAACATGTATAAAATGCACTACTGGGTAACAATCTGTTATCAACTTAGTTGGGCTGATAAATATTAATGCTGAAAACAGTAGGTCTCAACTAGTAATGGTACAAGTTTTCTTTCTTAATGTTAGCTTATATGCTTTCACACCACAATTCATCTTCTTCAAATCTGAAAAAAGAACAACAGAAACTGGGTTCTAACATTGAATAGCCTCAAACTGTCTTCAAGAATGAAAATATTTGTAGGTGTCTAAAACTACATATTTTTCTATCCTTTATGGCCTCTTGTATTAAATACCGTTACTCTGACACAGGTTTCTTATATACTACTACTTCAGTTCATATATGTATATCACTACCTAGTGGTTTGGTCTATACCAAGCCATAAGAGAGGTGCGATTGTTTCAACATCTTATTTTAACTAGTCAGATGTTGTAGAGTGGAATTTTAAGTGGTGATAACATCTTTGTATTTTAAGGGTGTATGTCATCAGAAGACAGGGAAAAACAGTAAATCAGTCCTACACAGAAGACTTGACATCAGGTGAGACACTTACTGATTCTTTTATCACTTTGTGTTATTTTGAGCAAATAATCTCGGCAAACATGCAGACTATCAAACTTTTAGTACAGTTGATACTCAAGAGGAAAATTCATGTGCAAATATGCTTCAGTAGACATTTCTGCAATTAAATTCTTTTGTATTATTATAGAAGTACTTTTGCAATAAAGATACTAATTTGACTGCAGATGTTTTGTAGGTTTCTGATAGTATGATATAATTTGATCTTGATCAAGAGTATTGTTACCTAGTCTGGTCAATTATAAATTTGTCAGTTTCTGTAGTTTTTCTCAAAACTTTTAGTCAGGAGTTGTGAGTACAACAATTGACAGGAGTGAAGTATCAAATTAAATATGTTGATGATAATAGAAATTACAAAATCATGCTAAAGGAAGTCATTTTAGTATTTTTTCAAAACGGTGTCTTACAAGATAATTTATAGAAATACTAAATCATATAACGTGTTTGTTTTTTTTTAAATTGAAACTACATACTATTTATTTTAAGTATCATGCACTTTAAGTATTTTCACTGTGAGAAGGAAGAAATCAAGAAAATAAACAGCTAATGTTTGTTACCCTTTCACTAGACTTATTCCACATGACCAATTCTTCACTGGAGTCTTGTACTTCACGGGAAGTGACACATTTAATAAAATGATGAGAACGCATGCTCTGGAGAAAGGATTTACACTGAATGAATATACGCTACGGCCTTTGGGAAGCACCAGTAAGTTTGGAAAAATAATAATTTTACTTTATCAGAGATTTTGGACTAATTACAGCCCTTCAAATGCCAGTAGAACTGACTCAAACTTTATGTATTATAAAACTGAATGCAACATGAATGAGTTATTTCACATCACAAGTTTCATATTTAAAACAGAGAGAATTAAGCTCCTCATTTCTTTAGTTATTCATTAAACATCAATTTTTCAAGTTTTGAGTGAAATGTATCTTAAAGAAAGAGAATGGCTACTAAACATCACTAGGTAAAAAGCACAAAGTTCAAATGTAAATATTAAGTAAAATATTGTTCACTTAAATGATGTGTAACATATGGAAAAAAAAAGAAGAGAGGACAAAACACCCAATAATGATAAATTGCAATTAACAGCTTAGATTTTATAATGACATTGCAAGGTAGTTAGTTTTCTTGGTTAAAACTAAAATATTGTTTACATTTTCTTCTTCCTCTTTGGTTTTGTGGTAGGGGTTACAAATGGATTATAAATTGATATATGCAAGAAAGATTTTTCAAAACATTTTTATAGGGTAAGTCCAGTAACAGATAAACTTCCTAGGTGGAAACAATTCAAATTCGAACAAATTTTAACAAATAAAAAAAACTTTGAGGATCATTTAAGTTCTTTATCCAAGATGATACAAGAACATTCTGATTTGTTTACAGGAGTTGCAGGAGAAGCACTTCCCATTACTAGTGAAAGGGACATCTTTGAGTACATTGACTATCCCTACAAAGCTCCTGAGGAAAGAAACTTATGAATATTTAGCATTAAGATGTCATCATAAATTAAATTTATTGTGTACACAGTGTTTGCCTTTTCAAGTAGGAGAGTAATCTCAAAATCTTATTTTACATTTTTAACTTTTCATCCAAAGCTGAAGTCTTTAATTAAATTGTGTGTCATATAGTTCATTGATAGTTATGCCAAACACTATTTTGTGATCAGAAACCTCAAAATAAAATTCTGTACTTTTGTGTTGCTGTTTCGTATATATTCTTTTGTGGAAAGAAAAGTAGCTGTATTAATGTACAGAACTTCATTTTCAAATTGTATGAACTAGATTTCCACAATATTTTATGTGAAAGATGATAAAGGAACCAACTCTGATGTCATTGAGTTATTGGTACACAACCAAACTGTGTGTGTGTGTGTGTGTGTGTGTGTGTGTGTCTATAGCAGGAATATTGTTCACAGTATAAAAAAAAAAACATACGGTTGTCATACAATTCACAAGAATATTTTCTAGCACATTTATGGAAGCTTGAACTCTTTCTTTGCATACAGATTTACCTATGTTCATGTGATTTAAACAATTAACAAGAGGATTTTCTTAAGAGCATTCTATGGAACTTTTCTGCTATTTCCTTGATTTCAAGATAAATATTTCAGGCTCCATCTCCCTCCCTTTTGCAACTAATCTAATTTCCAAAGATCAGTTTGTATCAAATCTTTCAAAAGTCTACAACATATCCTGGTAAGAGCTAAATAACCTGATAATCTCAACAAATGAAAACATAGATATAGTTTATAGCATTCCTGCAATGGTGATGAAACACTACAGATAGAGGAAGAAGTACCAATCGGAGATCAGTAAAACGTGCAGATGCAATACCCGAAATAATTTGTCATAGAACATTATTACAACATGACTTATTTGAATGGGAGTAGTACATGATTTTTAGATACTACACAACACTGGGAACTTAAAAAAAAAAATATTCAAATTTTTTTATAGTTTAGAGCTGTCTATGAGAATTATGTTGCTGTTTCACGTCAGTGGGAGTGCACGGTGATATTTGTGTGGAGACTAAAAATACTTTTGTTCATCATACACAGTTTGTATATTGTACTTGCATACCTCTACAATGAATATCTACAACTTTTTCAGTATCCCTCTATTTTATAGCTGGTTTTTACTCCCATCTACCACAAAATGTCACCAAAGCAGTAATGTTGAGTGAAATGAATAGTTGATCAATATACATGTTGAATTAGCACTGTGTAAAATGCCATTAATTTCTAGTTTAAAAAAAAAAAAAGTGTTCCAATGCTGAATATTAAATAAGTCAAGTTTTTCACAAACACCATGTAATTATTATAGGTTAGAGTGTTTTGAAAGTAATTAATTAAAAGACATTTTCAGAATATGTTACTCATGTAACAATGTACTTCTTTACAGAATATTTATTAACAATAGAACAAAATAAACCGTACAGCAGTGCAAGTCCAAATTAAAACTGAAAGAACAGTGTTGAGTGGTGCACTATTACAATCTCAAAATCAAGAGGTAAAAATTTACTAGCAGTCTTTGATTCAGTATAGCCTATGGTCAGTTTTAAATCCTACACATACTAATAACATTACAGGAAATGATTACAAATTATTATTGATAAGAGCAACACACTACATTTGAAGTTCAACACTGCTGCAGGAGTACAATTATATTCACTTACTATTTCTACTATCTATCTTACAAAATCAAGAACATCCTCAAAAGCAGAATTTATGTTAGGATTATAAAGATCACAAACACTATACACCAGGTACTAAGTTTCAGTACTGGCACTACTACTTAAACACCTGTATTGAAGACTGATTATTTTTCATTAATCCACAGAATTAAGATTACTTCATTTTAATGACAAGATAAATCTTTACCACGACCTTGCTTCAGCACAGTGAAAGTAACATGAAAAACAATTAGGTGTGTGAGAAAAGTTTTTAAAGTGGGACAAATTATTAGTGAGAAACTGAATCACAACAATATTTTTAGAACAACTTAATAATAATTACTAAGAACACAAAACATTACCAGAAGTGTCAAAAAGCTTTCAAACCACAACTGAAGTATAACACTATAAATATTTAAACCTATATATATACGTGTTATTACAACTAGAACAGGAATGCAGGATAAGATTTAAATTTTATTGCATATTAAGCTAGAAGGATATTTGCTTTGTTTTGCCAGTGCTATCATCACTCATTTCAGAATTTAATTTCCTGTAACCATGCCCTTCTGCTCTTCGTTTCCTCTCGTGTCTTCCCTCAATGATTAAAGCTATGATCTAAAATAGAAAACAGAATTACACATGATATAAATTAATCAATTATTAAAACTTCATAACATGAATTTGAAAAAAATAAATGCTATGCTTATCAAAGATTTTGAGAACAAAATGCCTACTGGTGCTTAGCTTTCTTAATACTTACGCTAGTGTAAAAACTTGCAGTGCAATTCTTTTTTGTAATACATAGAAGACCAAATTTCTTTAGTAGTGTGTTTGGGAGATGATGACGACTCAAAATTCTTAAAACCTAAAACAAGTGCAAGTTATGTTAACATATGTTGAATTTCCAGAAGAAGAAGAAAAAATAAATTAAAAGCTATTGATGCAATAAGGCAAAAAAAGCTTTCCATTCATATTAAACATTTTCAGGTTTTTGATATAATAATTTCACTTTTTAAAGATTTTTTTGTGCCTTTTGATAATTTCACAGATTGTATTTCATGATTATATTTCAATAAACACGAATAATCATCATTTGCAAGCACTATAGTAATTAACAGGTGTATTGCACCTACTCTACAATGTGAACACTTCAAATCCTTCATCTTCTGTGTGTCTGATCTAAAATACGAGACCCTGAGGATAAAGTGTCTTCAAACCCTATTTTATTTTCTGAAAGTTTAAGATCTTAGATGTTCCATCAATGTAAGAACATATTACTCTCTTTTGGCTCCACTTTTAAATATGCTATGTACATCCAATAGGGTAGAATCCCCAAGAGTCAAACGTACAAAGCAAGCAATTTAAAAACAACCTAATTCTACTTAGGTTTTATTTCTGATCTCACTACTTATACAAATTTAGAGGAAAGAAATTATTATGTTCAATATTTGTGAATATGAATAATGTCCCTTTTTAAACAATCCATGTATTTTAACTATACATGATTTAGGATAATGGCTGGTGAATAGTATTTAATATGTAATTCAACTTGTCAATAAGCCAGATTCAATAAATTGTTTTACTACATAAATATCATATGTAGACTAGCTGTCATTTTCATATTTATAGGTGGTAAAAAAAGAAACAAGTTGTAACATATTTATTGATTAATAAAGGTAAAGATTTTGAGTGTTATGTTTTTTTTTTGTTTCCAAAACAATAGCTTATTATTATTTAAATATTTTTATGACTGGGCCTGCTCAGACCCCAGAAGAATGAATATGGAAAATTTTTACAGAAGACTAATGCAGGGTTAATTGCTTTAGTGTGAAGATGATGCAATGTATTTAGTTCTCATATGTTAGGCTTAACAGTTTTGTCAACAGGCTAACTTATATTAAGTATTGATTGTTCATTCCTAGATTACAATAGTTAAGAGTAATGTAGGTGTAAAGGTTAACAGTTTATTAACTCAAGTCTGGCATACACTTTTAAGGAAGCTAGTGGTGAAGATATTAAATTTGTTTTTAGAGACTGCAGGTTGGAGAAGAAATTGGAGGCTCTCCTAAATAAAGTAGAGATGACAAATAAAGGAAAGTATAAAATGTTGGAAATGACAGCGGGATTCAAAGAGGAAAAGCTTTTACATGCAAGGGATAAGTGACTTAATCTTTAATAAGCAGGTTCTATTAAGTGACACATTTCAGCCCTTAGCTTGTGCAGGTGAGTAACTATGGAAGGAAAGGAAAACAAAAGTACAGTTTGGGATGGAAATGAAAATCTTTAGAAAGTTATAGTTAAAGGTGATACAGCACATGAATAGGATAGTCTAAAAAAATTATTAGATTATGCTATCAATGGGTAGGAGTGGAGGACATAACCAATAGAGAGTAAGTAACATAGTAAAAGGTGTTAGCAGTGATGCAGCCTTTGTTGTATGTGTTTGTGTGTGTATATATATAGATAGAGAAATGGTGTAAGGAAGGGTATGTCAGAGAAGCTAACTGATAAGTACCAAAGCTCAATAAAAGCAGTTGAAGAAAAGGACCATACTGCTAAGACTTAATTTTAGCGGTTAAATTATAATTTGCTCACTAGAACTAAATGCTGAGATCAGGGTAATAAGTATGACTAGCTAATTGGAATTGTAGGATCAATGCAATGGGAAAAGGAATTTTTTGGAATGGACTTACATTTAAGTAGGATAGGAGCTGGCTTGTTTGCAAGGGTTATTAACTCAGTTGTAAGGGCAGCTTTAAACTAGGACAGTGGTGAGGAACAGGATAAATTAAATTCAGAAAAATAAGATAGAGAAAAGTGTAGTGTAGGAACAAGATACAGAAATAGTTTTAAGAGTAGACTAAATTGTTAACATTGTAATGCTAGAAGTATAAGAAATAAAATAGATGACTATAGAGCACTAGTCAGAAAGGAAGATTCTGATATAATAGGAATAATTTAAACTTGGTTAAGTGTAATAGGTCACTTAAGAGGGATGGAGTACTAGGCGATTGAATCTATTTGGGATTTTGTTAGTGAATATATGGGAAATAAGGCTTTTTTAGTTGGAACTTATTACAGACCACCAAATGAAACTGATGAAATACACATAAACCACCCTAAAAATATTTTTACTAAAAGTTCTTCCCAACCTCCACCCTTAATCATCTATTAACAGCAATTATGTAATTAATATGATAATATGGTGGAGGTTGGGAGGAACTTTTAGTAGAAATATTTTAGGGTGGTTTTATTTTATTTCTACTTTCGATATTAGTAGAACTTCCATATATGGATATGGCAAGCAAAAGCCAAATGCCCATAGACTAGTGGAAAATCAAGCCTCAGAAATGTAACTGAAAAAAAAACTCCACTAAACCCAGTGTCAAACAAACAGGGCCTTGATTAACTCAAGGGAAAAAGCTGTAAATTGAATTTTCAATCACTGTGGTGGACAAACACAAGGAAGCAAAAAGCAGGTGGGGAATGAATGCGAGATATTGAGCTGGGTCAAGCACCTCCCTGGTGAGTATCTACCACAGAGTGAGAAAAACATTCCTCTTGAACCAAGGACAGAGTTAAGTTGGTTCATGTGGGACAGATCTAGGACAGGATGTCAACCTACTATTTTTAGGGAAATGACAAAAAAGTGGGAGTTAAACCCTAAATTAGGTTTGAGGAATTGTTTCATGATGTTATAACCAGATGAGATGGAGAATGAAAATAGAGAGGAAAACCCCCCTAAGAAAACACCTGAGTAACTCGGTAAACAGCAGCAAAGGGAATCCACAGGTGTATAAATGGGAGAGCTAAGCTACCACTAGACCTGAAAGTTCTAGAAACATGTTACTCCCCAGAAACATAATGGCCAGGCTTCAGAGAAGGGGGACACTAGATAGTGACAAGAGGATTAGGAACAGGAAAGGGGGTTCCCCCATGAAGCTGTAGAGAATATGAAACTTGGTAAAGCCCCCCTGGTCGAAAAAAAAGGCAATAGTGAACAATATTGGTTGCTGACAAGCTGCATCAGCTAAAGATTACACAGTATTACAAACTCTCCCAAAAAAACCTCATCACAAAGAAAGGGTGCAATACAGAGGTCCTTGAGGGAAGCTAATGTCAGACAGTAAGGCATTCTGACAAAATACATCCCAGAAACAAGTTAAATGGGACATTTATTTCTTATCAATGAATGAAGAAAAAAAAAAATCAATGGCAAGGTGGAAAACAGGTATGTGCAAGTTTCCTCCCAGTAAAGCTGACAGGGTCATAATGTAAAGCTACAAGAAGGGGGAAGCATGAACAGATAGCAAAGAAATTCAGTAAGTACAACACGAGGATGTATAAATGGAGAAAGAAAAATAAGGAGATCTCCAACCTGAAAAAACAGACTTAAGTGACAAAGGCTTATGCAAAAATGAAGCCTAAGATTTAACAAAAACAAATGGAGAAAAAAAATAACAGACAAAACTGTGTATTCCAAGCAGTGATGAAAAAGGGTGGGGTTTATCTGATCCTTGTCTGGATAATGTAATTAGAAACAAAAGGCATGGAAATAACATTAGTGAAACTCGCTGAAAGATGGGACAAGTCCAGCTGAAGTAATACAAGGTTGGAAATTTTGGGTCCAGGAATGGAACCAACCACCTGGTGCATAATGGTGGTAATACCTCTGACCAATAGAATGCCTCCAATTGCCATTATAGTAATGGGCAACTCCTTTTGAAAAGTGGCAGAACCTCAGGAAATGTCAGAAATGTGAATGCATAATACAGATGATCCACAAAACTGACTTTTTTAAAAATAAATATCAACCTGGTGTATGTTGAGGATGCATAGGCCTAACGATGATATCAGTGAGTAATTATCTAAATCCATATACTGGGTTAAAACAATGTGAACTAGTACTGTAAAAGAAAAGGGATGCGTGTTCCAAAGTTACAAATTTGATTAAAAGAAAACATCAAATCGAAAATAATTTTAATCCAAGTTTAAACCAAAATGTTTACAATTTGGTATCTCTTTTAATAATAAAGAAAACTAAAAGAAACACCACACTATAGTTATAATGAAAGTGTAAAATAGTAAGTACAGAATGCCATTAATTCCCAAGGAAAACATATCTGAACATAATACTGCTTAGGGAAGAAAAAAAAAAAGACTAAGCCTTTATTCAAATGTTAGTGCTTATCAGTGGAGGGTTACAGTAAAATGATGATTACATCATAAGCTAGCACAGTACATGTTAATATATGTAGGTGTACAAACTTCATTCAAGGCTTGTGGCTTCAAGGCAGTTATGCAAAGAGGTAACATTTCTGAATTGTTTTCTCTTTTTTTTTTACAGAAAAAAAAAAGAAAGAAAGAAGAAACGGATTGAGGTGTTTAAAGTGTTAAAGAAAATGATGAATTGATATTTTCAAAACATCTTTTTTTCATACTTATGGTGAGAATGGTAATACTATGGGACACAAACTATAAAGTTTTATTTTTTCTAACAGGGTGGTTGACCTTTGGAATGGGTTGCCTTCAGATATGGTGGTTGCAATAAACTTAAAATAGTTTAAGGAAAAGTTTGACATATGCTTGAATAAGGTCTAGTTTAGTGGAAAGAACAGCCTAGATGGACCAACAAGTTCCTTGTTCTTAAATGGTATATTAAGATGTTAAATAAATAAGAACATATCTTCATGATGTTCATAGCATGTTGTGATTTGTGTGCACAGTTATGCAGGCTGAAGGATGCAATAATAACAGTAATTTCTTGTTAATTAGCTGCACATAACATTTCTCAACTATGCCTTTTAAGTGTAGTTTTAAAAAACAAACTGCCAGAACAGAAAAGCAAAGTGCTAGTGTAGTCCCCACACATTTTATCAATCCACAGCATGCTTGTGCACACACACAACTAAACAATTTAATGCTAACATACGCAAAGAAAAGGAGACTCGGATGGCTAAATCAATGGTTTGACTTCACATGCCTGATCAGTGGAATGCTCATTAGGGTACTGTCTTTGATGTATTAAATCCAAAATCTGGAGAAAAGAACAGAGCAACTTATTTTAAATTATCAAAAACCTTACTGAATGGAATGGTGTGGCACACAAACTAATAAAATGGGACTTTTCATACTAAAAACAAATATTACTAAAAATTACATTGAATTCTTTTTAAAAATGAACCTATGAAAACATCAGTAGATAAGACAAAAGATGATTCATTTTAAAATTAATTAATATGTCAGAATTACCCACTAGGTAAATTTATCAGGTCAACTAAATTACATAAACAAAATGCACAATTACATGCACGTGAAAACTACATAGTAATCCTTGTTGTTAATCTAAACACTGCAAATTTCATTCATTGCCTTAGACATATATGAACATGTAAAGTCCAAAACTATTATTTTAATTTGAAGAACCTAGTATTGAATCCATTGGAAAAATGTGTTGATTCTCTATTTCACTATTTGTACCAGGAAACAGATAACACCTATTAGATATGTGCATGTCTTTTTTTTCTGGGAAGTCAACTGCTATAGGTAAGGTGCAAATTTCCTAACAACTATTGAAAAGTAACAATATGTGATCAAACAAGAGGAAAGTGATACAAATTACATACAAGAAATAATTACTTTTTAATTCAACTTATATACATAGCACATTCTAGAATTAGAAATTGGCCTTTAAACGGTTAGCATTTTTCATTTAATCAGTTTATACGTAATATCAGTAGCATACTAATGTATTGAATAATCTTGAGTAATGTTAAAATGATTGACAGTATGTTGCCTTGAGTGTCAAGATATAAGCAGCCTCACTGATACATTAAGTAACACTTCTGTGATAACATGGTCAATAGTGATTCTACAGTGGCTATATCTAAAAATGTCAAACATCCTATGCTTAACTGTTAGAGAAATAAAGTAGTAGTTCCATTTGAGTTTACTCACTAATTATAAGCATTATTTTATTACAAGTTACAGCTTTTACAGTAACAAAGAATAATTTCAAAACAGGTACAACGTTGGTTCACTCTGAGAATAAATAGTTGAACAAATTTTTATGGGAAATACAATAACACCACAAGTCCTCTGATAATTTTTTATTTACAGTTTTGCATAATTTTTTTATGCAGTTATTGTTTTTTAGATTAAAATAATTCAAGTATTGTAACTTGAAAAATTAATTTTCATGAGCCATGAAGTTATCCTAATTATAATTATATTCCAGAGAGCTGTAATTTTGATTTTACAAACATTACCAATAGACATATTTGACAGGTATTTTCAATGCGTATGATATCAGTAAAATACTGTGAATAGGTCCATAGGTACTAACAAAATTAAAATTACAGAGTATTACGTTGCTTAGTTCTTGCCAGTTCTAATTAATAGAAAGAGAGAGGCCGTTACCACAAACTTTTTGACAATGAACTGGATTCAGATACAACCTGTAAAGATGGGGAACATCCTTGTACCAGAAAGAAATAGTATGTGGAATTATATTTTTTGTACAAAAAGTTATTAATAATAACTTCTGAGCGAAAGCAAAGACTGTATAATAATATGTCAATCACACTTTACCCACTATATCCAGTGTTGGCTATATCTTTTACCAGATACCCAAGGCTCTTTAGGTATGCTGGGATACCACAAATAAAGTAATGGTTATGATGCCATTTATACTAGCAACTGCTTTAAAAAAAATGTTACAGCATCAACTGCATTAAGCTGGTAAAGTGCAATTTTTTTTAAAATCAATTTTACTTATGTCCCAATACACCAGAATTAGTGTAAGTTATAAAAAACTATTATATTCCTAGTAAGCTTTCATTCTGAACAACATAATTTATGAAAGGTAAAATTATGGTGACTCATGACCTGGTCTTAAGAAAAATGTTAAGTTTACCATAGCACAGAATAGTGTAAGAAATTTACACCAGATTTATTACTGATGTGTCAGCTTAACTTCTGTAACATTTTCTTGATGTGACAAATTCTTTTAGCTATATCATCATCATCACTAGCAAGTAGCATACAATAGAAACTAAATTCATTTCAGTTTGATAAAATTTCTAACAAAAAGTACAGTAAAACCTCAATTAATGGGCAGCTAGAAACAACAGACACCCCACCATTAAAGGCAGGCCTTTTCAGTCTCTTATTTTTCTACCATCTGTAACCAAAATAAATCTTGCAATAACAAACACCTCAATATTCCAGATTAAATGCAATGTCATTAATCTCATTCTCCATACAGGTGCTCAATAAAGCAGGCAGTTAACCCGTTCGCTGCAGCCAGATTAAAGTGCAAATGTCCTGACCTTTTAGAGTTATTTTCAACATTTCATTAAATAACTTTACGATTCCTCTTAGCACTGCAAGTACTCAAAATCTTTGTTTTCCAAACTATCTTTTAATAAAAATAACTAAAATTTAAGCATTTGTGAATAAAGGGTATTTACTGGTTGATGAATAAGTCTACTGAAAGGTAAATAGGATTTTATAACTGTGTGCACAAATATCTTTGTATGCCTGTACGTGTAATGTACAAATGCATGGTAACTTTTTATATTTACATGTATTTTCATATCTATGAAATATAAATTAATATAAAAGAAACACATTTCTTTGTTCAATTTGTTTAATGGTTTTACAGTATACACAAAAACACTGTTTACATGCATGTAACAAAAATGGTTTTAAATGCACACACCAAACAAAATGGGGGGGGGGGGCTTAAAATTCAGCAATTTAGTATGGATACAGCTTTTTGCATGGCTCCATTTTGATATTAAGGGCACCTTACTATAGAGGGCATTTGGACGCAGTCGGAAGGGTGCTCTTAATGTTGAGGTTTTACTGTATAACTCCAGCTAGCGTGTTTGTAATTATTACAATATTAGAAAATGAAAAAAAAAATCAGCAAAATGTTTTACCTTTCGCTTGTTATGAAAAACTAGGTAGGCAATAACACAGAGAACAACTGCTGTCAAAAAATAAGCTAGGAAATGAGTGTCTTCTGCTTCTGGGAAAGGTTCAACCATTTTAGGATAGGTAGGGTTGCCAGAGTTTGCCTTATGAGGCACATTCTGGTTTTCATTTGATAGTTTACCTGAAAATGTGTAATACAAATGCTAGTATTATTAGGAGTATTTTAGAAATGCTTTCAGTATAATAAAACATAGTAAAATGAAATTAAAAACAAAAACATTAATGAAAACTAATCAAAATTTTATTGATTTGTTCTACATGAAAAATAGAAAAAAACAAATTTACAAAAACTGGATCCACTACACATAAATTATTCAATCAAAATAAAAAACTAAAAATTGTCCAGTCAAATAAAATATAATGCACATAGTTATTCACGGTTACTTTTAATTTATCTCCTGCATATATCATTGACTCTCCTAATTTCCTTAACTACAACACTTTCTGTAAAGTATTTAAACTTCAATGATAAATAAAACTGCATTCCTTTATTTTAAATAAAAAAAATTCTGATAACTAAATATTATATACAAGAATAGAGTAAACATGAAATTAATTATTTAGCATCAACTATTCTACTGATGAATCTATAGAAGATTAGGTGTAAATTACTGCAAACAAAAGTTTGAGAAACATGGATCCACATGCTTATTCTGTAGATCTCTTGTTATTAGTGTAGGATGCATGTTATAAGCCAAAAAAAAAAGATAAAAAATAAAGGAGGAATTCCATGCTCCCTAATCTACACAGAAGTGCAGGCAAAAGCATAAGCCATGACTGGAGTCTATGTAAATACACAGCAATTCATTTTAAACAACTATGCCTTCAAGAAGAGTGTTGCACATTATCAAGTTGCTTCGTACCGTAGACATAAATGAACATGCAAGTTATTGAAAACAAGGCATAAAATGATTGAAGTGTGTTTGAATTATATGGCAATTTTTAAAGATTGAACATTTACACACCATCCACATATAACAAATCATCATCCTCATCATCTGCATCTTTTTCTGTGAAGTCCCATTGTTCATCTGTAAAACACAGCATTATAATTTTCTTCTGGACACAAAGTAAGCATGAGCTAATAGCTACCAAAATTATAATTTCTTAAGTGCTGTAAAAACAATTTTCATTGCCAATTTGTTTACATACTACAAAACAAAAATAATACTAATAAAAACTGCATGGCCTACTTCAATTGTAGAATTGTCTTTTGAACATTCATATTCTTCATATCAGAATCTTGATATGATAATGGGGATGATAGTAAATAATTAGCATGAGTTGATATGAAACCTACAATCATGCTTTTAAGTAGTACAAATCATGTTTCAAACCCAATGTCACCACTACTGTTGAACATTTTTTTGCTTTAAGTCTCGGTACTGCTGGAGTAAGTTTAAAAAAACAACAACAACAACAACAAATTATTGTTAAGAATTAATCAAAATTGTATTCCAGTAGAACTGATTAAACTTATTTCCAACTGAAAATACGTTTGACATGCACAACAGTCAAAGTAGCACTATTTACATCCCAACTTTATCTTAACATCTGGCTTTTCAGTAGCACTGGCAAACTAAGCAACTGAATACCAATTAAAAGCCTTTTAACTAACCACTATTAAATTTTTATCAAACACAAATTGCCTTGAAATGTACTGAATATATGAGAAAATGTCAAAAACTGTCAGCAGTACTCACTTTATAGCATAATTTAGGCCTAATAAAAATGGGCAATAGAATACCCAGCTGTTTTTCTGCTAAAGCCTAGTCCAAGCAAAGACATTGAATATGATTATTATGATACTAAGATGGTACATTATCACTTTGTGCAAAAATATTGTTTAAGTTATTCTCATTATTACTCACAGTAAATATTAAAAAAAAATACATCCAGTATTTTTTTTTATCTGCAGTATAGCACCTCATAGAATGGCTCCAATTTTTTTTTCAAGTACAAACTTTTAGCTCGTAGGTCAGTTATCTCTTGATTGATTTGAGAACTAATTACAGTTTTGAACTTGGGAGGTCAAATGCCTTTGATTGATGTATTTGATCATGCCCAAGGTCTCATAGATTAATTTACTCTAATCTTGCCTAAAAGAATTTTAATATGAGGGTAGGCTGGTAGTGATCCTGATGAGTAATAAAATGAATCTTGTATATGTGCGCCCCATGCTCGGTATTGCTGGTGCACAAAAATATAGCTAATAAAAAGGAATAAAGGTCTCAGATTAATTTACTTTAATCCTGCATAAATGAATTTCAAGTACTGCAGGTATTGAAGATTCCCTCTGGTTTTCACTTTACAAGTCTATAACAGAACAATTGTACTGAATAGAGAGATACAGCTTGTTTTACAATGCAGGTTATTGTTCTTGCTTCTTCTGGAAGTTCTGTTATACCAAAGAATTTAAAAAGTTCTGTAGTTTAACTATTTATATGTTTTATGCACATTAGTTTTATATATGGTGTTTCCATTGTTTTGTTTCTCTCTCTGGTCTTTGATCATTCTCAGACGTATCTAAAGCTAGGGTAACCATATATCCCCAGCTGAGAAATGTTTCTCCCTGGAGAAAAAATTTTACCTCCAATTACCCTTAAATCCTTATATTTATTATTAAGTATGCAGCAGAAATACATTCCAAATAAAACTTCATATAGTTTTTATTATTATTAGCTTATGTACTGCATCACCATAAGACAATGTTGGTGCAGTTGCCATAACTAAAGTTGGATATATCATAAAAAATTTGTCTGTTTTTTTTTGGACAAAATTCTAAAACAGATGCTTTCAAAGAAATACAACTGGCAGTAATACAAAAAGCTGCCTCCATCTGGAATTATGGTGAGTACAGGTACGATATTTTTGTCACTACATTTTATTTACAAGATATATGGACACCCCATTTACTGATAAAACTGTCTACAACAAATTAGTATTGAAATACTGTGTTAGAAAACTTGAAACAAATAATAATAATAATAATTATTATTATTATTATACATCCCCCCCCCTCTAACACGTAGTATTTCAATATTTAAGCCGTCATGGAGATTTTTAGCAGTATATAACAGTAACAATATATCTGAAACTGAATCTGATGACATTCATATAAAACATTTTTGCCTGCATTCACCATAATTCTACATGCAGGTAACTTGCTGTATTATCAAGTAGATAATTTAACAATCCCACAAAACCATCTGTTTTGGGGGCTTTTGTCCTTCGCTTATTAAGTTTGTTGAACCAAGATTTTCTTTTTTTTTTTGTATACATACACACACACACACACACACACACACACACACATACATATATACACACACACACACACACACACACACAACCTCAAATGACTATCCACCTCATTTACAGATTTTTTTTTTGCACTCCATTAATGTAAACTTCATTAGTGATAAATCAAAAATACTCTCTTAGGTGTCTAATATGATACTGAATGGTGTTCAAGATGCCATTAAATATACAATAATGTCCATTATAAATTTTAAAAACCTGGCATAAAATCTGCCAATAGTCTGTTTAGTCTTTAGAACAGACCACTGTGGGCAGGTTTATTAACTTTTTGTTTTCTACAGTGAAATCTAAAAATGAAGACTTCACCTATACTTTTTATTGCTTAAGGTGATGCAGTTAAATGAATATTTGAGATTGAAGAAAAACAATAGTCAACAGCTAGTTTAACTCAGTACAGGTACACATACTTGCAACAACATATTGGTGACACATACAGCCACATGTAAAGTTACACTTGTCCCTCCAAACACACAAGGAGATTCTACTGCAGTTGGTTTTGATACAGTACTCTATTTTTGTCTCTTTGCCTACTATAAATATCACTGCAAACATATACACCAATGAATCAACTTAGTTATAAATCATATGATCACCCATGATGTTAACAATCTAGTGAGAAGTTCATGTTTGTTAAGGTTTATTAGCTTCAAAAAACATTAAATTTATCTCTAAATATTTCCATTTCAGAATAAGCTTCTTTACAGTATTGACTTGTACAGCATACTAACATTACTAATGCAGAAGTTTAGAGAGTGCAGTTTGTAAGCCATTACAATTTCTCAAGTGCATACACAATACATTTACCTAAAAATATGCTGAAAATAAACCTTTAAAAATCTTTCAACCTTGTTTTTTCTATTTTATTCATGTATTATTAGGTCTCAATTGTTAAAACTGTGTAAAATTCCACCATTTTCAGAGAAATATGATAAAAAAGTTATTTAAAATGCTAAATAAAATAAAAAAGTGTAAAGGTATTTTACAGTGTGACCTCACATATAATCTTTCAATTTTTTTTTAAACTTCTATTTTATTTAACTGCATTAAAATACTGTATGCTCAGTTTTACCTTCTTCGTTAACATCATGAGGAACTAATCCAACTTGGGTGTCTTGATCCAATTGTTTCTTGCCACTTTCATCAACAGGTTGTGAATTCTCCGATATTCCACTGTTTCTTATATACCCTCCTCCAACATTAGGATCTTGTTCATTTGTAAATTTACTAGGATCTTGTTGACTACTAACCATTTTCTTGCCCATTTCATCAACAGGTTGTGAATTCTCCGATATTCCACTGTTTCTTATATACCCTCCTCCAACATTAGGATCCTGTTCATTTGGAAATTTACTAGGATATTGTTGACTACTGACCATTTTCTTGCCCATTTCATCAACAGGTTGTGAATTCTCCGATATTCCACTGTTCCTTATATACCCTCCTCCAACATTAGGATCCTGTTCATTTGAAAATTTACTAGGATCTTGTTGACTACTAACCATTTTCTTGCCCATTTCATCAACAGGTTGTGAATTCTCCATATTCCACTGTTTCTTATATACCCTCCTCCAGCATTAGGATCCTGTTCATTTGGAAATTTACTAGGATATTGTTGACTACTGACCATTTTCTTGCCCATTTCATCAACAGGTTGTGAATTCTCCGATATTCCATTGTTTCTTATATACCCTCCTCCAACATAAGGATCCTGTTCATTTGGAAATTTACTAGGATATTGTTGACTACTAACAATTTTCTTGCCCATTTCATCAACAGGTTGCAAATTCTCTGGCACACTATTAATTATTGTGCTTTCTGAAAGTCTTAGAGGAGTAGGATCAACATTTTTTCCATTATTAAGAGAAATAGAAGATATTTCAGAATTTGTTTTATTTTGTATAGGATTCTGAATTTGTTGATGGGTACTTCCATTTACTATACTACCAGCCACTTGATGACTTTTTGCATCATTAGGGAAATCATTGGGATTTCCTGAATTTGTTGGTTTCCATGTCGAAATAAAACTGGATGGCGACATAGATAAATGCTGTTTAGGGAAAGTTGCTGCAGATAAAATAAATATAAATTTTGTTATAACATTCAGCAGAGCATTATTTTATACATTCTGCAAAAATAATTAAATTTATTACATTTTCACTTTTGCATTAGAAAATTGGATTTTGAGAAAATATTAAGTTCCTTGTACTTTCCGATATTTTTGTGAATATATTTTTATACACACACACATCACAAACATGAATATTTACATCCAAAACAATTTCTACAATTATAAACTGCATCTAGATAAGGATAGATATCATTAAAGTGGTGATAAATAAGTAAACTTAATAATTTATAGTGAGAAGGAATCTATAATGTTTTGGGAAATGGACTAAAATTTTTCAATTGCAGGAAAACTAATGACACTATAATGAAAATTTTCAATACAGCACTAAATTTCCCAGGTTTATAGTATTATTTTACAAATTATAGCTTTTTCAAGGAAGCAAGAAGTTTTATTGAAACATGTACAACATTGTTGGTGCAATCATTCTCGAGTACACTGGTCGTATCCAATTTAGTAAAAATTTTTTCTTACTGCAAAAGCTGTAACTCAAAGAAAATACTTATCATCGTTAAGTAAACTTAAACAACAACTATTTATAATATTAGTTTAAATAAATTATACATGCAGGTTCAGTCCAACAAGTAAAGTCTCGTGCATTTGGTTACTAAATACAATACAAGCAACGTAGAGATATTCATTCCAAAACACAAATTTAAGTTGAGCTTTTTCCTGTAGAAAACTTCAAACTATTGGTATGCCTCATTAAAAAACAAATATTAGATATAAAATAGCCAAACTAATACAAACTTTATAAGTTTTAGAATTGACAAGAAGTAAATATTTACTATTCTGACTTACAGCTGTCTAGACAATATTGCTATTAAAATCAAGGATTTACGAACAAGGCTTGTTGATTTAATAATATGGTAGCTTCTAATTTAACAAACCATTAAACTCACCATAATGTTGTAATTTTTGATTTTATAAAATAGTAGCAAGCTACCTATTGAAACCAAGATCTTACTATGTATAGTAAAAATAACGTAATTTGATTTCTCTGTCCGACCCTACATACTTTTAGATTATGCCGTCCAAAATTAAAAGTGTTGATTACTTAACGTATAACAATAGTGTATTGTTCCATTTGTCTTTTTGAAGTGGATGAGACTTACAGTATGTTGGCTTTCATTAAAAGACAATAATTGACAATAGCATCAGAAACTGTACATGGTTCATTAACTTTGAAGAAAGACATAAAAACACATAAGGAATTATAAAAAAACATTATCTGCTAGAAAGAGCCACAGGCCAACTATTTTGCATATTTCATAAGACGAGCTAAGCTCAAGATTATAAAGGCTGGTTACAAACTCTATAATCTCTTTTGTAATGGATACGATACAACAGTATTTATAGTGTTCATAATCAGTATCATAGCAACATTAGAAATGCTTAAAGCTTTGATGGCTAACAGGATAAATGATAAGGTTGTTTTATTCTTGCTACATGTTGTATAATGCAGTAAATGAATTCATTACATCTGGGGTCACAAAGGTTACTTTGAATATTTATTATTGCGCTTGGTTTGGTTGATTGAACTGTTCAAAAATTAACAGATACCACAACAAAACTTCTGTTATAATTGCATTTATATCAATTAAAATTTCAATCACTAAAATTTACACAATAATCACTAGTTTCTTTCAATACTAGCAACAGTAAGATTTAAAGCAAATAAAATTTTAGCTACTAACACAACTAGCTACATTTTAAAAC